AACTGTTGTCTCTCTCAGCCAAGGTGAGAGGTTCAAATGCAGGGTAGGAAGGGGTGGGCAGTGGTGCTGAGACCGTGCTTCCCACCGCTGCCAGGCATTTTCTTTCAACTTACCCCTTTGGCTTCTGGCATTTCAGTGGACTAAAACCCTAGTTTTTCAAAAGGTGGGATTCTCAGGATGCTGAGCCCAGTGCCAATTTCTTTAGGTGTGCGGAACTTTGGAATAAGCTGCCTTCCTTTTCCTCCCCCTTCCTTTCCCAGCCTCCAAACGCCTGTCCTGCGGCTGTGAACAGCCCCGAATGTGCAGCAGCGTCCTCCCCTCCGCTGGCGGGGCCCCAGCAGACCATCAACATGTTGAAGGAACAGAACCGGCTCCTGACCATGGTGAGCAAGCAGCGAGGGCGGCCCTGTGCCACTTTGCTCCTGCCCTTTGCACGAAGCAGAGAACCCAGCTCATTCCGAGGGGACCTCTCTCTGCCACCCTAGGCCAGCCGTGGGTCGGTAACAGGCTCTTTGTTTGCTTTGCAGGAGGTGACGGATAAGAGCAAGCGGATCACCCAGCTGGAGCAGGAGAAGTCAGCCCTCATCAAGCAGCTCTTTGAAGCTCGGGCCCAGAACAACCGGGAAACCAACCAGTTGGATTCCACCTTCATCTAGCTGGGGCCTCGGGCTCTGCTCTTGAGGGAGGGGGGAGGCTTTGCGATGGATCACCTGAGCCCTGGGTGTCAGCTGCTTGCAGCGTCTGAGGTTGCCGCTTGCACCCGACTCTCATTCTGGGCCTTGAGACTGTAGGACATCAGGTCGGTATCTTTGATACAGCCGAACATCTTAACGAGGCATGCCCAACTGCTTTTCTGGTCCATGAAACAGGAGCGTGGGACTGCGTTTCTCCAGCTGACCCCCCCCCCCGGATCCACATGTTGTTTATTCCCCTGGAGAACATGGGGTTCTCTTTTATACTTTCTCTGACACCGTTCCACCGTGTGTGGTCACGTAGCAGATCCTTTGCCCCAATTTTGATTCCCTTTCTTGGTGCTGAAGTTCTCTCCTTGCCCCTTGTAGCAGCATAGCCTCTTCTTTGTTGTGGAAAAAAGAGCCTGCAATGTTTCAAGGATATCAGGGACTCATCCCAAAGTTCCTAACCTGGTGGCAAGACCCACACTCCGCATGGAACTCTTGAACTGACTCCAGAAGTGAACACCAATCCCAGGAATGAAGTCTCTTTTGCCGACAAGTTGGAATAGGCCTTTTCTCTGTGCTAGACAAGAGAGCTCCTGTGCCTGTGCAGAGCAGACTTCCTCAGAATAGTCCTTCCTGCACCTTGAATCGGTTTCTCCAGACTTCCCCCACTCTTTCCTTTTTTTAGGCAGGCATGACTATCAAGTCTGGTTGGCAGAAGGTTTCAGACAAACACACCTGTGTTCAAGGGTTCCCCGCAAAATCATTTTAGCATTCGGGGTCACCAAGTGCCCCTCAAGCAGCACCAGACCCACAATATGAATGAAGCTACTCAGAGCGTGGTGGCTTGAAAGACGTGAAATGCAGAGAACGGAGGAGGCGAGTTCAGAGGCAACGCGACATTTCCCTTCTGCCCCCGACTGCCAAGGATGGAGCCTCAGAACTGAGGGGAGGCTGAACAGAGAAGCACTTCTGCCCTTACTGAAGCAGGGCAGAAGAAGAAACCAAGCACCATCCCCCTGAGTCTCTTGCTCCCTAGACTCCAGGCCTAGAAATGAAATCTTGGCTCAGCATCATCAGTTCAGCTGAGGACACTCTGTCGCCTTACGCTGCCCCAGCTGAAGACGTTGGCTCTCGGTGGCCTAAATCCTGCACATAGTTGAAAATCAACTCCATAATCTACTTTTTTCCCTAAAGTGGCTGCAGTCTTTTAATTAAGCCTTTGCAAAATCCGTAGTGGGGAAGGTGGGATTCTGAACTCCGGAGGGCCACCCTGAGACACTCAACCCAACCCCCTCCCCAGCTCTGGCACTTCCTGTCGTCATGGCCACAGTTTCCTTTCTTCCCCTCTCTTTGCTGCTCCTTGGCTCACCGATTGCAGGGTCTGGGAAAGGGGAGGCCAGAACTGGCCACGAGCACCATGTTGCTGACCCCCTTGTCCGGTTCCCTTGGGGAGGGGAGGCAAACAGCTGAAGAGCCAGTCCATTTACTCCCTCCCCCCAGCTGTTATCCAAAGAAGGTAGAACTTCCCACTGTTGGAAGATTGGATACTGTGTGTGTCGGCTTATTGCCCAGAGCCAGGCTGATGGTACTTGGGGTCAAGTCTGTTGGTAACTGTGCTCTTTGCTTCAGCTTTATAGTTCTCAATAGGCCCAAGAAAAGCCAGGCAGAGAATGGCACAAGAATGTCCTTACATTAAAATGACATGTTGGGTCAGGCAGCTGTTATCCCCCTCAACAACACCCCCTTTCTGTGCACGGGGGGCATAATCTTTGCTGCAAACTGATTAATTGCTCATTGGACACTGCAATACGGATTCTAGCTTAACTCAAGCTGCATCTTCTTCTTGGTTCCCGGTGCCAGCAGGGGGTGCTGTGGAACCACATTAAAATTCAAAGTTGTGTTTGAAATTCTAGAAAGGTTTTTAAGATACAGATGGAGACCCAGGGCCAGAAATAATTACAGGCAGAGTCCACATCTGGCCCCCACCCTCCATCCTTGGATTCAGCTACGGCTACTTCTATGGTCATATCGATTTGGAAACTGCTGGTGTGTTTAGGCACAGTTGACACAGTGGCTGTTGCTTGGAAACAAGAAACCTGAGGGCAGGCACAGAGGGAACGGGGAGTTTCTGGGGCAGGAAGATTTTACCGTTCTTGCTGCAGCCTTACAGGCAAAGCTGCCACTGCTTGGTTCAGCTGGGTATGCAAACATCAGTGCTTCCTCTGCCTCCCCTTCCTATACAAAAATGTTGCTGCCTTCTTGGCTCCTGAGTCCACAAGTGTGCAGCTTCCAAAATCCATGTTGAACTGTGTATCTCATGCAGACTAGTAGGTTGGTTTGTTTAAAGTTATAAAAGTTTCCTGCCTCTTCAACTGGAGCTTCAGAAAGCTTGGCTGCAGAATGTTTTGGCTGCCTCTGTAGCTGTGATTTTGTACATCTTTGTAGAGTCCCCCGGGTGAAATCAGGACTTTTTCCTTTTACCAGCATCATCCCTTCTTTTGCCCACCTGCTTTCCCTCCCAGCCATATTCCCACGGATCATTCGTGTCTCCAGGATAACCCAGTGGACTCCATGTCATTATAAATTATGCTTATCTGATGTTGTCAATGTCTTCATTGCTTGAACCATCCCTATGATCCTGCCTTATTCTACCCTGCATAAATCTACATTAGCTCCTGAAGCCAGTGGTGCACCCACCCTTTTCAACCTTTTAGTTAACCCATCTGATTAGCAGTATCAAAAATGTTGCTGTACCTGCCTCTGTGAATGCCAATAATGCACAGCATCATTCTCTATGGTGCAAACAGGTAAGGCGCTGCCCATATTGGACAGTCTGGTTTAGAGCCAAGCCCATTTGAACGAATCAAGTTGTGTATTCTCTGATGCAGGGAGGTGATCTTGCCCTTTTCAGTGTTATGATGTAATCCTTGATCTTAAATAGCCAAACGTTGTAGTCATCATGAGGTAGATAGTTTGGCATGAGCTCTTTATTAGTTCCTTCCCGTCATTGGTACAGTCTTGCCTCCTGGCTCTAGCTCTTGCGCATGCTTGTACCTATCCCTTAGCTTTCTGCTTTTTAACACACTGAACTGTCCTTCTTCCTGCAACATTCAGTTTTTTCCATTGTCTCCCTCTTTGTTTTTCATTCTTTCAGCTTCCTTGCCTGTTTCCTGTTTTTTCTTTACTGCGCCAAACTGATCTGTGCTTTCTGCATTTTACCACTGACACTTTAACTCTGAACAGTTGGAATGTTTATTAACATTCCGTGGCACCTCAGCTATTAAGCTAAGGTCAGGGAGGAGGGAGCTCAAGGACCACTCCAATTTGTACTTGTGTGTGTGTGTGTGTGTGTGTGTAATAACATTTCCCCCTGGTTGATATTTTTATATACTTTGTGGTTGTTTTACAATATTTATACAGGACTGAGAATTTTCCTAAAGAGATAGGCATTTACTGCCTTTAGATGTTTGGTTCAGATTCTCGCTGTGCAAAGAGTAACTTGAACTGCTTCATTCTACGATTCCTCTGCACACAGCTATCTTGTACTTTAGCACAAAGATACTGGTACGAATACTTTCCCTTCTTGCAGGTGCGATGCTCTGTTTGATCCATGGTGCACTCCTACCTGATGTGTTTACAGTCTGAATGCCTGTATGTAGCTGTGATCTTATATGTAGTGTTTTTAACTGTTATCTTTGGGGGATTTTTTAATACTTGTGTATAAATGTGATTGTGGAGGGTTATTAGTCCCTACCCCCCAATAAAAGCAGAAGGGAATCGTAGCATATTTTTATGGCTAAGTAGAGATTGAGCAAGAGATTGGATTTGAGCAGAGTGGGAGAGAGAGAGAGCGCCAAAGGGCTTGATTCTATGACTGAATCTGGACCAGCCCAATCCCTGGGATACAGTTTGATCTTGTTGTCTTTTTTGTATATGTAAATTGTCTTTTTATTGTCTTTTTATTTGTTGCAAATTGCTTTGGAAGAAAAGCAGCCAATAAATATACTAGTGAACTAAATATACTAATTAATGTGTTCTTTTTCCCTTTGTCCTTGCGGTTGGACAGATCAGGTTGCCAAGGAAAAGATCCTCTTTCTGGCCACCAGAAGGAACTGCACTTGCACTGAGATGAAATGGCAGTTTGCAGAATAAATTACATGAAGGTGGTTGGCACAACCCTCTGGGCCGCTTCCACCTGGAGTCTGCCCAGCTAGTGATTCACAGCTTTCCTAAACAAAAGTTTTAACTAGGGCTGCTTATCAAATTTTGCAAACTTGCTGGTTCAGTTCCCAGATCCCTGTTTTGATTTGGCTTCTCCCTTGTGTGAATCAAAGCCAGGAGATTTTAGCTTCATTGTTTTCCTGTTTCCCCCCACCTTGAATCTATACAGCAAGATGTTTACCTTTCCTAATATTCACATCAGTAAATGAACACTTTACATATATGATGTGTATAAATGATATACATTATGACATATATGTATGCTCACACATTCTGAGACACCACTACTCTCTATGAAAACGGGTAGACTTAACCATTCATAATGACAACATCTGGTATTAAAAAGAAACCTAGAGCATATTATTCACCTCTTCCTTCAGTTTATTAACAAAAAAGTGCTAGGTGAGCTTTACAGGCCAGGGAGTTTTACAAACTTGAGGCTACCACTAACAAAGCCCTGTGCTGTGTATCTACTGTCAGACTTTTCTGGGTGGGGGGATGTGAAGCAAAGCCTCTCTAGTAGTTGGGCATTTTTTTAAAAGACATTGTTAGCATTTGCCTTGCTAGGTCAGAGTATACTTCTATTTCTCTATAACTTCCTAGTGGGATAGTAAACATTACCCAGTGTTTAGCATAATTTGTGCAACTCGATCTGTTATGAAATTAAACATTCTGTTTTCTGAAAAGGAAAAGGTAGAAAGACTCATCTGCCGCTTTCTCTCCCAACTGGAGTGTACTTCCTGTTTCGGGTCCAC